TTTTTAAATGTTTTTATGGAGCAAATCAGTAATTACGCGAATAACGTATAAGGTAGATTACATTAGAAAAAGGTGCATTCAGTGGCAATAATCATAAAGTTTAAGTGATATAAAGTGAAACTATTACTTTAACCCCACAGATCAATTCATTTGATTCAAAGAAAAAAATAATACATAAAAAGTGCGAAAAAATAAAAAGAAATCGTGCAACTTATGTTAGTTGATTCATTGTTATTGATAAGTCGTAATCAATTTATTGGGACTTAAATTTAGTCGTCCCAACTCCCAAATGAAGACCAGATGCTAATCTGTGCTATCGTACAGAAAATATCTCAAGAATAGTAGTGCTAAAAATCCAGATAATTTGGGACTAATGTGCAACAACAACAACAGCAATCCAGTATATTCCCGCAGGTGGGGTCTGGGAGGGTAATATGTACGCATACCTTACCCCTATCCCGAGGGCAGAGAGGCTGTTTCCAGGAGACCTTCGGCTCAAGAAAGAAACAAGTGGCAGAAACAAGTGACGATATATTAGTACTAGCAATAGACTCATAATAAATAACATAAAATAGACAACATAACCTGAAATAACATAAAATAACAAATAACAACAATATAAGGAATATAGGAAATACGAGAAAGAGGAAAGTATATAATATCTATAATATAAAGCCCTGCATCAGTAGCTGATCAATAGCATCCTAAGCCTAACTCCTAACTGTCTAGTCTCACTCTAGCGCGCTGTAGAAATATTCCCAACCTCCCCTAACCTACAACCTTAATGCTCGACCTCCACCCCTGTCAACGGCCATGTCCTCAGTAATCCTAAGTCGCGTCATGTCCTGCCTGATCACCTCGCCCCAATACTTCTTAGGTCTCCCTCTACCTCTCCTCGAGCCCACCACCGCCAATCGCTCACAACTTCTCACCGGTGCATCAGTGCTCCTCCCCTGAATGTGCCCGAACCATCTGATTCTTGCTTCCCGCATCTTGTCCTCCATGGGCGCCACGCCCACCCTCTCTCGAATAACTTCATTCCTAATCTTATCCATCCTCGTATGCCCACACATCCACCTCAACATCCTCATCTCTGCTACTCGCATCTTCTGGATGTGTGAAATCTTAACCGGCCAACACTCGGTCCCATACAGCATGGCCGGTCTAACCACTGCTCTATAAAACTTACCTTCTAACGGTGGTACTTTCTTGTCACACAGGACTCCCGTTGCTAACCTCCACTTCATCCACCCCACCCCTATACGGTGTGTGACATCCTCGTCGATCTCCCCGGTCCCCTGAATAACTGACCCAAGGTACTTGAAACTACCCCTCTGAGGGATGACTTGGGAGTCAAGCCTCACTTCCACTCCCGCAGCAGTCGGCTCGGGCCCAAATTTGCACTCGAGATATTCCGTCTTCGTCCTGCTCAACCTGAAACCTTTAGACTCAAGGGCCTGTCTCCAAACCTCTAGTCTCTCGTTGACGCCGCGTCTTCTCTCGTCAATTAGGACTATATCATCGGCAATTAGCATACACCATGGCACCTCCCCTTGAATATTATGCGTAATGGCATCCATCACTAGGGCAAATAGGAAAGGGCTGAACGCAGACCCTTGGTGCAACCCCGTAATAACCGGAAAATGCTCGGAGTCGCCTCCTACTGTCCTAACCCGGGTCTTAGCTCCATCATACATGTCTTTAATCAGCCTAATGTAGGCACCCGGGACCCCTTTAACCTCTAAGCATCTCCATAAGATCTCCCTAGGAACCCTGTCGTACGCTTTCTCTAGATCGATAAACACCATGTGGAGATCCTTCTTCTTATCCCTATATTGTTCCACCATCCTCCTAATAAGGTGGATAGCTTCTGTGGTAGATCGCCCTGGCATGAACGCGAACTAGTTGTCTGAAATAGACACCGTCCTTCGCACTCTCATTTCTACCACTCTTTCCCAGACTTTCATGGTATGACTCAGTAGTTTGATACCCTTATAGTTGTTACAGCTCTGGATATCGCCTTTGTTCTTATACAACGGAACCATTGTACTCCACCTCCACTCTTCAGGCATCCTATTAGTCTTGAATATAACATTAAACAACCCAGTAAGCCAATCCAAGCCTGCTCTGCCCACACACCTCCAAAGTTCAACCGGAATTTCGTCTGGCCCGGTAGCTCCGCCCCTCCTCATCTTACGCGTTGCCTCCATGACCCTATCGACCTCAATGTCTATACAATCACTTATCTCACGTGGGCTGTCAGCATTTCGCAAATCACCTAGTACAATATCCTGATCCCCTTGTCCATTCAGAAGTTTATGAAAGTAGGTCTGTCATCTCCTCTTAATCTGGTCATCCCCCATCAAAACTTTGCCGTCATCATCTTTTATGCACCTCACTTGGTCCAGATCCCGAGCCGTCCTCTCTCTCACCTTAGCGAGTCAGAATAGCTTCTTCTCCCCGCCTTTGTTCCCTAGCTCCTCATACAGACGAGCAAACACTGTCGTCTTAGCCTCTGTAACTGCCATCTTCGCCTCCCTCCTAGAAACCTTATATCTCTAACTGTTCGCTCTCTTCTCCTCCTCACCAGTGCTCCCTAATAACCGCAGATAAGCCGCCTTCTTCGCTTCCACTTTACCTTGGACAATTGCATTCCACCACCAGTCTCCTTCGTGGCCACCGGTGCGTCGCGAAGATATCCCTAACACCTCTTTCGCCGCCTTCCTTATACAGTATGCCGTCGTCGACCACATAGTGTTTGCATCCCCACTATTTCTCCAAGCTCCCATTTCCGATAACCTTCCTACCAACTCCTAAGCTTTATCCTCAGTCAAGGCGCCCCACCTAATCCTCGGGCGGCCTCGTACTGACCTCTTCTTCCTCCTTATCATAATACCAATGTCCATCACCAAAAGCCTATGTTGCATCGCAAGGGTCTCACCTGGGATAACTTTGTAATCCTCGCACAACCTTCTGTCGCATCTCCTGAGAAGAAGATAGTCAATCTGAGTCATCGCCACCGAACTTTGGTAAGTAACCAAATGCTCCTCCCGCTTAGGAAAACTAGAGTTCGCAATCACTAGATCGAATGCCTTGGCAAAGTCCAACAGCGAAGTGCCCACTCCGTTCCGCTCCCCGAAACCAAAGCCGCCATGTACCTCAGTATAACCAGCTGCAGACGACCCAATATGACCATTAAAATCTCCTCCTATAAATAACCTCTCGGAAAGCGGAATACTCCGAACGATGTCATCCAACCCCTCCCAAAAGCGCCTTTTAATCTCCTCATCCAAGCCTACTTGCGGCGCGTACGCGCTAACAACATTTAAAGTACACTCACCCACTACCAATTTAATGATCATTAGTCTATCATTCACCTGCCTGACCTCAACCACCGACTCTCTAAGGTGGCTATCTACCAGAATACCCACTCCGTTCTTACCCCTCAGGACTCCAGAGTACCACAGCTTATACCCATCCACGTTTTTCGCCCTCGATCCGACCCACCTAGTCTCCTGGACACACGCTATATTAATCTTCCTCTTCTGAAGGATCTTCGCCAACTCTATGGACTTACTCGTTAGCGAACCTATGTTCCATGACCCGATTTTCAACCTATAGGCTCCCTTGCCCCCTCTACCTCCCCTGCCTCCCGTCCCACACCCTGACCCCGGCCCCACACGAGGACATGCCCTTAATCTATCATCCCAGAATGCAGCCACTACACCTACGGCCAATTTAAAGAAGACTCGCTAGTGCACAACGGACAACGAATCAAACTAGAAGGAAGCAAGTGACTACAAGTACACAAGTAGAATGACTGAACTATTGTGAACTAAAGTAACATCAAATTAGCTAACACCAAGAGGGAAACCGTAGAACGGGAGGTACCAACTTCCGAGAACCAAACCTGTGTTGACTTGCTGTACTCGAATTTGAGACCATAAGTCTAATTGTCATAGTCAAATTAATGCACCGATAGGACACGAAGTATAGATGTTACGTTTTCTTTTTGTTTAAATACTAATATTGTTTTAAATAAAATAAATCTTAATGGAAAGAAATTATCAAAATAATATAAGATGCGTGAAATTTGTACCAAAAAAAAAAGGTAAAAAAAAAAAAAAGGTTTAAAAACTTAACTATCCAGGCATACTAACGCTTACAAGAAAAATTACACATTGTAACCTATGTTCATAACAATAGTATAAGTGACTTCAATTACTAATATAGAACAACAGAATTTTATGTAAATTATTGCCAAATGCTTTCAATATAGTGTTAAACAAAGTTATTGGACGTACATCTACATGGAACATATCCTCTACTTATGAAAGCGTTAGCTCCCATAATTTTCTGGAGACATTTAGTACAAAAAAAAAAAAACTAAGCTAATATATCTCACTACAAAATATCGGACTTATTGCGGCGGTTAAATAACGGCGATTCATCAAAACCGCCGCAATATACATCATACGGCGGCGTTCCAGACGCCATTAGTGCATATGTTAAAACGGTGTTTTTTTACAATTACGACGGTTCAAAACCACCACTAATTAGACCAATTTTTAATAATTCTTTTCCCTCTACGTATTTAGAACTCCCCCGCTAATATTTTCAAGAAATCTGAATGTATATTTGGGCATCTTTAGCTATTTCTTCTTTCTGGTTTACAATATAAGGCTAATAACTTCTTTTTATCTTCATTTAGTTGAAAATTCTTTAGTTCATTGTAGTACATAATCTGTTGTAGTAGACTTTTGTAATTATATTTTGTCTCTCGTGTAGGTAAGAATTGAAGAAGTTCGAAGACAAAGACCAGAAACGCTGGCAGAAATTTTATCGAATGACGCGCTTGGTGTAGTCTTCGGTCCCGAGCACCCTGGCCATGTTCGAGGCTTAGGCATGGGTGCAGTTCCAACTGTAGTATTCAAGCAAACATCAAGACAAGGTGGTTGTTCTTATATGGGCGCAGCTAGCACTAGTGCTCCACCTCCACAATGGGTGCAAGACATGGCAAATATGAGATCACAATTAAATGCGCTAACAAGCTTATTTCAAATGAAAATAGGAAATATCCCGAGGAGTTTGCTCGCTTATTTCGGACTCCTTCACAGGTAAGTCTTCTCTTTATTTTGTTGACATATGCTGTCCTAAACACATATTATACTATCTGTCCACATAATCAAGTCGTAATTTCTGTAGCGCCCCTTCTTCTTCATTTCTCTTATTTCAATATTCCTTTAACCGCGATTAGCGCAAAAGATGCATATAAAAGACACATGTCATGCATTTATTTATTTCGTATAAACAACAAGTGTGCCTATGTTTATTTTTTTCTTATTTGAAGACTATACGTATTTCATTTCCTTGTTTTTGTTATATAAGGTGATGTTTTCACCAGTTTTCTAACAAAGAGCAGAAATTTCCTTCAGTTATCTGATAGATTAGCTAGGATACATGCTATATAATCATAACACCAACTTAATACTCAGAAAGAGTTTTTGAGAATCAATTATACCGGTATAAAAAAGCACAAACTTTTTCTGATTTGCAGTGTTTAGAATCAATTAAAGCACATGATGATGCTATAAATGGATTGGTTTGTAGTAGTAAAAATGGGGTTGTATTTTCAGCTTCTGCTGATGGAAAGATTAAAGCTTGGAGTAAAGAAGAAAAAAGTTGTGGGGGTACACATTCACTAAAGGGAATCTTGGAGGGTCATAAAGATGTTTCTTTAAACTCTGTGGTTGTTTCTCAAGATGGAAATTTTGTATACGGAGGGGGGTCAGATGGGTATTTGATGGGGTGGTTGGGTAACAAGAATCTTGATAGTTGGAAATTAGTATGTGAAGTAAAAGCACGTGGAATGGTTGCATTGCGTATGTGTTTGATAAAGGGGGAATTTTTGTGTAGCGGATCAGCTGATAAGAGTATTTGTATATGGAAAAGGGAAATAAATGGAGGTTTATTTAGAGTTGGAGTTATAAAAGGACATGAAGGTCCAATTAAGTGTTCTAATACTCAGAAAGAGTTTTAAGAAAAGGAAAAGTAACTACGGTTTGGAACAATCTCAGTAAAAGGCTGCTGGAATGAGAGCAGTAATTACAGTGTTAAGTAAAACTGTTTGACACTACTAATTAGTCTTTTTATGCGGGCACCAATCCAGGAGATGGCGTTGGAGATGGCGTTCCGTCACCGACTGGGGCAAGAAGATCCTTTAACGAAAGTAACTATAAAAATGGAGCATACAACAATTAATAATCATTGTTAGGATGAACTATGTTTTTTGTGTTGTAACTGTTGAATAACTCTCTTAACTCTCTATAACTTAAACTTGAACCTTGAGTGATGTGGATTTTGGGTATGTTTTAATATGATGAATATTTTGCTTATCTAATTCTCTATTATAATTTATGTTAATTATTATGATGGGTGCTTGGTAACATATTATGATGGATTTTGTGCAGTAGAAAGGATAAAGGATCTAAATGTGGAATTAAAAAAATTAACATTAAAAATATTAAAGTTATGGCAGTATAAAATGGCTACAATTTGAAAGGGACAACAATTACGACGGTTACAAACCGCCACAATAAGCAAAGTAAACAGCCGTACTTAAATATGCATATTGCGGCGCTTTTATCTGCATATTGCGACGGTTAGACGAAAACCGCCGTATTACACCTTTTGGCTGAAGCGATTATGGCGGATATGTGGGCCGCCATTAATGACAATTACGACGGTTCTTAACCGCCGCTATAAGCAAAGCTGACCGCCGCAATTACCCCAGTTTTTTTAGTGACTTCTTAAAAATATGAAAAGAAAGATATTTTAATTGTGTTATAGTTGTAATCAATGTTTTTAAAAGGCGGGGCGTAAGGCGAGGCGTTTTACCTCAGATGAGGCGAGGTGTAAGCCCTAAGACATGGGCGTAAGTCCCACGGATCTTAAATTTTACTAATTTTAAGATAGTATAAAATAAATAAAAAATTATAAAAATTACATTAAAATCACAAAATTATAACAAACAATCTATTTAAAATATTTATAAATTATAATTCAACTATGAATAATACGAAATGATACGTATCATAATATGCAAATTAGCCGCAACGTCGTTACAACTCAAACATCAAAAGTAATGTATTCAACGCGAAATCGTATATGTATCTCTTGAGGAGTAATGAATCTTGAAAGAATTTCGATATTTGATTTATTTTAAATACTCCTTTTATTTAATATGCCCTTTATTTGAAAGAAAATTTATATAAAAACATAATTCACAATTTAAATATGATTCTCTAGCATCATTTATTTTTAAGTTTGAACAAGTTAATAAAGTGACACATAATTCACCATACTATACCATGATAACTAATTATTTGTAAATAGTTACTAGCTAATACGGAGCTATTAAATTAATAAGTATTGTATCTGTAAACATGAAAAAATAATATTTAGGAAAATAATTACAAAAAAATTATGGACTATTATATAATAAAGACATAACAAAAGTAAATAAATAAATACTTTTAAATAAAAGATTTATTTATAATTTACAATCATAGCAGTCTTAGTGGATAACGTACAATAATATTCATTTTAATTTTTACATAAAATACTCTCAAATTAATTATTTATGATCAAGGAAACAGTAATTTTGAATAGTCAAGATTTATTAAGAAAGTTTGAGGAATTACAAGGTTAGTTACACACAATTGCATAAAGTTCTATTAGGCGAGTCCAATACGCTGCGCGTTGGGCGTGTCCGGGGCGTAAGCGCCGAAGGCTGAGGCGTAAGTCTCACGGAACTAAGCCCCACACATAAGCCATGGGCGTTTTACGAGTGCTCCGCCCCATGGCGAGCCCGAGCGAGTCCTAATTCCTTTTAAAACAAAGGTTGTAATTAATGTCACAAATACACTAATAGCCCGTTTGGCCAAGTTGCAAAAATCAGCTTATTTTGAGAAGTGTTTTTTTTCAAAAGTGCTTTTCTCAAAAGTACTTTTGGTGAGAAGCAGTTTGTGTTTGACTAATTAGTTTGAAAAACACTTCTGAGCAACAATTAGTGTTTAGCCAAGCTTTAAAAAACTGCTTCTAAGTGTATTTTTCTCAAAAGTGCTTCTCAAAAAAGTGCTTTGGGAGAGAAGATACTTTTTTCTGTTCTCCAAAACTGCTTCTGCTTCTCCTCAAAAGCACTTTTTTCCTTCCAAAAGCTTGGCCAAACACCTCAATTTTTGGCCAAAAGTGCTTTTTGGCCAAAAAAAAAAATAATACTTTTGGCCAAAAAAAAAAGCTTGGCCAAACAGGCTATAAGTAATCCAGGGGTCAATGGGAGGAGTACTAGTGTGAGAACTCCGCATTGATTATGCGATGTCAATTATAGTACTCCCTCCGGTCCATAATAAGTGTCTCTTTTACTTTTTGATTTTGGTCCAAAATAAGTGTCTAATTAGGTAATCAAGAAAAAATTCAATTTGTTTTTACTCTTTTACCCTTATGTGCAGAAGAGCAATAAATGCCACTATAATCATGTGCCCAATATTTAATAAGGGTAGTTTAGTCATACTAGGTAATTTCGTATAGGATTTAGTATTTTCTTAATGGGCGTTCTAAAAGTAAAAGAGACACTTATTATGGATCGGAGGGAGTACAAATCTAGTTGAGAGTTAATAAACACACAACGTAATGGCTGTGCTAATCTTTTAGTGCTCAATAATGTTAGTTGTGTATGAAATTTGAAACTAATATACAGTGTTCTGGACAACTTGAAGAAAACCATGATTAAGTTTCTAAATCTTTTTTTTAACTCGGCTTGCCATCTTGGTATATTTTACTAGCGGTTCTCTCATTTGTTTTTAGCATAAATTTCACAAATGATTATATAATTATGATTTTTTTTATTAAAGTCATAACTTTATTTTCTCACACAAAAATCATAAAACTTCACTAATTCTTACAAAAATTATAGTGACCGAAAAATACAATTTCTCGGTAGTATTTTCTTATTCCAATTTATTTTTTTATTACAGTCTAATGAAAAAATAAGCTAATTAAAAAAGAGAGAGGGGAGGGGGAGGGGCCCGCAGGCTGTCCCCGTGGAGCCAACAATAATCGTAGTTATGCGGGGTCCACATATAACCCCTGTGCCCTCTGCGCTAAGCATTTGGACCAATTCACAATTCCTTAATCTCCTCCTTGTTTTGGCCCCTAACCTGCAGACCAATTTCATATTCATCTTAATCCCTCACTTTCCTGACTTTAAAAAACGCATACCTGTTTGTCTTTTATTTTTAGACTTTATCAAATATTTGGTACTGTTTTAGAGCAATAATTAATGTACATAACTTAGTTTAACTAGTTCGGTGGGCAACTATATAAATTAATTCAGTTCATCGGCTTCTAACCACAATATTAGAAAATTTATCATCTGAACTAATATAGCCGGCCAGATAGAAGGTCTACTTTTTTCAGCCGGTATATATAGAATATACATTGTTTATACATAGCTATACATATATTATGCATATATTATATGTCCACCGATTATTTTTAGTTTAAAGAATTACGAAAGGAGGCTATTTGGGTTAATTCTTCTAGTATTTAAGTGTTAGGTTCCTCTTTTTTGATTGCTTAAAATTCTTCATTATATCAGAAGTTCCATCTTACAAAGTGTGCTTAGACGTGGAGGAAATATTTTGTTTTCTTTTTCGTTAGCTTTAGCGCTTTGTCAGAACTAAAAATGTAAAAATAAATTATTCGCCTTTCCTCTATTAAAATTAAATGCCCAACCCATCATTATATTTTGCCGCTTTAGTCAATTTCTGATTTTTGTGGACCGTCACGCCAACACTCATATTGGCGCCATTTGTAACGGCACATCTCAAACAACCGTTTCGTTTTTTTTCTGAGAGTAACGAGTACCGTTACGGACTTGAAACGGGATTGCGTTACAGCTTATTTAGGGAAAAAGACAGAAAAAGAAAATTAGAGATAAGATAGTACAGCGGCAAAGCAACGAACCCTGCTTTATAGGCTGCAATAGAAATGAGCCACGTGTACTGCTGTCGCTTTATGCACACGTGTAAGAATAGTGTGGCGCCAAACAGTTGAAGATGGTCCCTTGGAATAAAAATTTGTTACGTCGCGTCACGGAGCTTTCGTGACCACTTAGGTGAAAGATCACACAGCTAGTATGTTGTGAACGCGTAACCATCTTTTACTTTTGAAACATAATTTAAAATAATTTATAATGTAGTAATATAAGTTAAAAGAAATTCATATAATAAGTGGGCGTTTGAGCATAAAAATTGTAAATTTCCGAAAAAAGTGAAAAAAAAAGTTCAAGTGAAAATGGTGTTTGAAAATTAGAGTTCTGTTTGGATGTGAATATAATTTTGTGGTTTTTTTTTAATTTTTGTGAATGATCTAAGTAAAAATTTTGAAAAATAATTTTTTGGAGTTTTTCAAATTTTCGAAAATTCCGAAATTCGTCTTCAAGTGGAAATAGAAATTTTTTGACCAAACACTGATTTCGAAAAAAGTAATTTTTTTTTTATTTATGGCCAAACGGGTTCTAAGTTTGAGTTCAATTTTTGCTGTTTATTTCCTTTTTTCTTTTCTTATGTACTCAAGATGACTGTTTTATGGCTATATCCAGAATTTCTTTAAGTTGTTTTAAGTTGTTCGAAAAGAGAATTGAAATATTCCTATATCCAGAATTTGTTTAATTGTATACTTCTCAATTTTATATCTCATGATACGATAAAAATGTCATCACATGTTTAAAGTGTATGTTTGAATGATATTTTTGATACGTGTCAAAAGTATGCTTATAACGTGTTTGACCAATCTTCTAATCAACTTATTTTGAAATTTATTTTTATCAAAAGTATTTTTTAAAAATGTACTTCTGGTGAGAAATAATTTGTATTTAACTAATTAGTTTGAAAAGTATCTTGAATAACAACTAGTGTTTGACTAAACTTTAAAAAAGTGACTCTAAGTGTATTTTATTTCTAAAAAAAATTCAAAAAA